GAGACATAGTAACGATAGATACAGATAGATCGTACAGCTACTCAGCATGAAGGAGAGATTTGCGCCAAGAAGAGTTGTGCCGAAGCGCCGAGATTAGCGTGGGACAGAACTTTTGTGAGGCACCTCCGTACATTCAGCACGATAAATTGACGGTATATAATACGTACGGGACGGTATCGGTTGCGTCCGAATCAAGCTGCTTTATCCCGTATCAAGCTTAGAGAGTGAATATTACAAGCTTTGGCCCGCCTACCTATGATCACCCGCCCGTCTTACCCTTGACAAGATTACCTTGACTGCATAGGCCACCCGTTTACATGTATCATACGGGTGCTGACAAAGTCATCCGTACATATGATGATACCATACATTCAAAACTGAATATTTGTAACAAATAACTTCAGGTGAAAATGAGCATGTGAACAGATAGGACAGAGTGAAAATGGAATCACATCTGTCGTTGGCAACACTTCTTCGTTTAGTGACATCTTTGCAGAGTATTCAAGTATGAGATGATTTTCACGGTACCAGTATAAAAGAAGAGAAGTCTTGGAAATGCATCCATCTCGCAAGTGATTCCTGCGTCGCAAGTCATTTCAGACACTGGTGACATTTTTATGAGAATTCTTCATTCATGAAGTAGAAAAGATGTCTCTCTTTTGCTGTTGTGTGTGACGTGACGGGAGCAAGTCCTATAATACATCAGGATGCAACGACACTCTCGTTTGCGTTCTTGTCCTCTCCATCAGCCTCTGTACCTCCACTCTCAACACTTTCTTGCTTCATCTTCCAATTCTTGAATTCCTCACTAACAATTTTTCCAGTGCCATCTCTCACCCTCCTCACCTCAATAACGCCACTCTTTTTTCGCAACTGAACACTATACACACCTTCATCTCGTACCACGCCTTTCAGCCAGGCCAGGAACTCAGTTGCAAAGTTAATACACACGTTTCCATCCCAGCATCCCGTTCCTCTACGCACCATACCAGGTATCTCATGGGTGTTGAAAGTCTGCAAGCTCCTTAGTATACCGCTCTTGCTTCTGAACCCGACGGTAATCCTGGGGACGCCGAGGAGAAATGACTGGGCCCAGAACTTGAGAAGTTTGCGCTCGAACTTGAGGATATCGCGGTGTTGCTGGAGGTGCGGGGGAAGTAGCTCTTCGCTTGTCTTTAGCTCAACCCATTGGATGGGCTGCTCCGGATCACTGGGCTTGGGGGCGAGAAGCCCATCGACTTCGCCGCCTAGAACAAGGCTGTGGGGGCCAAATGACGTGTGTACTATGGAACAGTGCTGGGCATGGTTGGACACGACACCCCGCTGATGTTTTTCAATTTCCTCGCGCGGCGTCTCGGATGGCAGGGTGGGTATCAAGGTGAGCTTCTCGAACTTGTAGCCCCAGTATGTCATCATTTCTCGCGAATGCTGGTTGGCATGCTGATGCCGAGGCGGTGGTCGCTCAGCTTCTGCTGCGCGCTCGGCAGCTCGTGAAGGAAAGTCTTCCTCGATGTAGATTGTCCCATCGTGTAGGGTGGCAAACATACCAAACTCGGCAAAGTTGTCAAAAGGCGCTGTCATGATCTGATATCCGTCAGAAGTGTCTTTGGGTCGTCTCTGCAGCGGTAGTAAGGTAGGACAACCGGGTCCGCTTACCTTGCCTGTTTTCAAACCAGCCTGCGTCAACATACCTTGGTCATCATGCCTCGCCAGGTCATGAAATCTGCCTTTGGCTGTCCTTTGCCGGTCTTGTTGTCCATAAGCGCCCTAAGCAAGCTATCCAAATGCGGGTCTTCCTTATCTTGGTAGTGTTTGAACGTGTCGAATCCTTCTTTGAGATCTACACTCATAGGCGGGTGGACATAGTAGTTGATTCCTGACTCGTCCGCCTGGTAAACATGGTCGTCGTCGTATGAGAAGTGGGCGATCTCACGGGGCCGCTTGATGGTTGCTGACGCGCCGCGGAAGCGATTGAGGGGCTGTATGGGAAATGTGTGAACTGTCATATCTGATTTCGGGGTATTTCTTTCAATAGCTGGTGCTTGTGTGGGTTCTGCTTTGACAGAGGCTGATGCTGCTGCTTGTGGAGGTGCGCGAGTTCTGGGTCGCTTCCGGGGCGGTGACCTGTCTGATGAATCCTCGATAGGAGTGGGCGGTCTCTCCGGGAGGCCAGAGGGAGTTTTAACGGGTGTTTGTTCAGTCATTGCGTGGTCGTGTTTGTACAGGCATGTTTGATGGCTGGCAAACTACGCCGCGGAGGTGCATCCCCCACAAACCGCGGTTCTCGTACCTGACTAGCTACGGCGCGCCATCCAAACCATGTTATGCCATGTGTCGACGTCAACAACATCACATACACTACAACCTATAGCTTTCTTACAGTCTCCAACACCGCCTCTCCCGAGCTGTACAAAGTTGCGCGAAAATGGACAACCGTGCTATAAGACTCAACCCTAACACCCGGCGCAACCTCTTCGCTGCCCACACGGCCCAGCAACAACCGCCCGCCTCACGACGCCAGAACCAGAATGCACCTTCAGTTCGACCCGACAGCCGCGAGATTCAACAAGACATTTTCACGCAACCCGTTGAAGATGAACTAGTCGAGAAGGATGCACAGGGAGATTACATCATCCATGCGCCGACCCCGGTGTACAAGAATATGGGCACGGCCAGCCTTGGGCCAGAGGGAGATGAAGAGGGCGGTAGGTCTTGACAGAATCCGGGCATAAAAGAGGAAACTGACTGGCGATAGAACATGAAAACGAGTTGATTGAAATGTACGGCAAGCCGAATGTGCACTGGGCTGCAGCGGGAATTGAAGAGGAGATCAGGATTGCGCTGAAGAGTAGCTTAAGGAAAAAGGTGGCGAGTTTGGAGGATGATGGATGGATGTTTCAAGCAGAGAGCGAGAGTAAGAAGTGAAGTTTCTTTGGGCAACATGTACATGGCACTGCGAGGAGTTTGGTGTCACGATACCCTTGGCACGGTGTTTTGGGTCATAGACAAGATTGATATTAGCCGGGTCAGTTGTGAGCTTTTGCAAGTGCTGGGTCACGAAAGAAGTGATATATTTTTCAGGCTGGTTCTGTACTTGAAGAGTTGTTTACTCATTTGTGCTCAAGTCGTACTACATGCAAACGTTCGCCTCGAGGGATCTCTGTACACAAGGACCCTCATACTCAGTTCACAACATGCTTCCAGATCTCTTTGGAAAGAGTCCAATCATCCTCCAAAAGCCTTCAGGCTCACAGGACGTCTCACCGATTTACATCCTACTAAGCTTCACCCCTCACCTTCCGCAGACTGGGACTCTGTGCACGTTCCTGCCGTCCTTGTCACTCATGCCTCACCTGGCGGGCGGGTAGACAAGATTCAAGGCGCTAGAAGGTGACGGGTGGGGCACCACGATAGGTGAACATGTGGTTGAGGCATGCAACTCCAGACTCGGCACGTGTCTTACAGCTGTGGCGCAAACCCACTACCTCCAAATCACGCCCACATGCGCAATTGATATTGCAGAGCCCTATAAGCGCTTCCTCGCGATACAACCCATGCTTTCGCCCAGACAGTTCCTGGGCTGTGGCGGTGCAGTGTCTCACTATGTCAACCCTGCCAAGACGCTCACCTTTACCTTGAATCACTTCACGATTGACCTCCCAGACGTCCGACTCACACTCTCCCATCAACGGTGAACGTCTTCAGCGAAAAAACTGCTACTTTCCTGCCAATATCGTCACCTGACTGCTGGAGCTTCGGCGCCCGCTCTGAGGATATAAACCCTCCCCCCCTCGCTCCTTCCTCCTTTGCCTCCTCTACCCCACTGTCAATTTTCTGCCTCTTGCTTGAGCTTTGTCAACTGCAAAGTCTTGCCTTTACCACATCTCTTCGATTTGTACAACATTTTGTACATTTTCTTTCACTTCCACCATCATGTCTCATACCTCTCCTCAGTCTTCAACGGCCCATGGCCCTTCGTCGAGCCCTTATGCCGGCACTGATCCCACTCTCTACTCACCTGACGTGGACCGCAAGCCCCGCATCGGTCATCGTCGTCAGATTACCGCCATTGCTGCTGGTAAACTGTCTGTCAAAGATGCCAAGGACATGCCCACCATCATCAAGGCCGCCCTCCCTCTTCCCGCTATCTCCGCTGATGGTGTCTTCACGAACGAGCTATCCGAAGACAACAATGGCTATGTTTCCCGATATCAGTTCATCTCCCGGCTTCCTGACGGTACTCATGCTGGACTCGACTCGGAGCACGAACTTTTCAGCGTTCAGCACCAGATGAAGCTTGTGACTAGTTCTCCTCTCTGTTTCCATAAGCCTAATTAACATCCGCTGTAGTACGCATGCTTCCTCAACGCTGTCCCCTACTACTCTCGCGGTGTCTTCATCCGCTACGATGATCTTCGCGACGCTGCCGAAGGCAAGGACATCCTTGAGCAGCATGAGTTCACTGTCGACTATGTCACACCTTACGACTTTGCCAAAGCCAAGGCACAGGACACCGCCAGCCTCAAGGAGTTTGAGGGCCAGATCAAGCTCGGCATCGTCATCGATCCAAATCCCGACCAAGCCGTTTGGGAGTTCTCGTCCGAGGACTTGAATGAAGTCTCCAACTTCCTCAAGATTACCGCCCAGGCTTTTGGCGAAGTTCGCAATATCACTCATGTCGACTCTCTCCAAGACAAGATGGTCGTTGTGTATCGCATCGAGTTCTTCTCCATTGATGCTGCTGTTCGAGCTGTCCAGTCCTTACGTATGGATCCGGTCTGGGGCATCAACCGCCACGTGAGTTTCCTCCCTCCTCCAACTTTTGCGCGCCCTTGCTAACGTCTTGTAGAAGTCATTTCAGTGGTGCACTTCCGATCCTGCCCTCTGGTCGGATGAGCGTGTCGCGACCTCACCGAATCGCCCCAAGCCTCGCCTCGATGCCCATGGTCGCATCTACGGTTATCGCTTCGCCCCCAACCATCAGATTCCCGATCAGTATTCCGACCGTCGTTCCAGCTACCACAACCATCCCCACGATCAGCACAACCGCGTTCGTCGTGAGCGCATTCTTGATGGCAGCGACGTTCGCACTACTGTCATGCTTCGCAACATCCCCAACAAGCTCGATTGGGTACGTAGCTTGTTGCATAGCCAATTGAACTAAAGCTGACCACTTCAACAGATGACCCTTAAGAACATCCTCGATGACGTCTGCTTTGGCACTTACGACTTCATGTACCTTCGTATCGATTTCAAGTCTGGCTGCAACGTTGGCTACGCCTTCATTAACTTCACGGATGCCAACGGCATGCTCTCGCTCATCGACCGCATCGAGCGTCGGCTCTGGCCCGGCTTCAACTCTGACAAGACTGCCGAGGTTTCCTACGCCACCATCCAAGGTCGCGAGGCACTTGTCCAGAAGTTCCGCAACTCGTCTGTCATGCAAGAGACTCCTTACTGTCGCCCACGTCTGATCTTCACCCTCGCCGACGCTGAGATGATGGGCCAGCTGCGCACTGCCGGTACCGAGCAGGCATTTCCTCGTCCGGACAATCTTTCCAAGCTTCAGCGTTCCATGGATAGTGCTCGTAGCATCGGCCTCTATCCTCCCAATGGATACTCTACCCTTACTGAGCACCGCAACCGCTCCAGCGCCTACGACCGTGGAGGCCCTCGCGACATGATGCAGGCTGCTATGCACTTTGCTCAGCAGCGAGTCACCCCTGTTCAGTTTGCCGGCCTGAGCGAGGCCAAGAAGCAGGACATCGAGACTTGGTACCTGTGCACCTATGGAGGCGGTCACTGTGGTCGCATCCCCTTTGACTGCATCCCCATGACCCATGTCACCCAGTACTTCAACGAGAATCCTGCTCCTACTCCAGTTCCAGGCATCATCGGTGCGCCGGCTAGCAGCCCTTTCTCCAACAGCGTCGCTTCCGCCATTCCTGACGGCACCCCGACTCGACCCTCTGGTATGGCTCGTGGTCCTATCCGCCCCTTCTCAGCTCGTGGCTATGCGGATGCCAACAACAACCCCTTCTTGTAAGCATCGACATGACCGGTGCTTGTTTTCGCGTCTATGGACAATGTTGCAACATCTATCGCATTTCGCATGAGTGCAGCAAGCACACGATTCCTTTGTTTGTTCGAATCTGTTTCAAGATGTTTGTCAAACAGGGCTTGATAATAGCTTCCTGGGAGTGGTACTGGAGACGCTGCCGAGTTTATGTCTTCCAGAATGATGTCGTACGATCTGGATTAATGATGTGGATGATTGTGGATTGATGTGGTCTCTGACCTGATGATGGATTGCACTGGGGCTGGTGAAAGCACAGTGCCATAGTAGATAGCTTAATGTCTTAGGTAATATGAGCAATGACTGCCATGATTGTGTCTTGTTGGTGAATTGTTGTGACTTGCTACTTGATCTGACGATATGTAACTTGATTGATTTGTTTGCATCTACAGTACAAGGTCGTTCGGCTCTCAGGGCAAGGCCGATGTCTACATTCAGTCTGTGAGCGAGTAAACAAGAGACCTGCCTGTTCATAGCCCTCGATTCATTCAAATTCATTTACATGCTAACTACCCAAGTTTGGGTTAACCTTGATAAATTCCCACACCACCCCTTCCGACAACTTATCCCCATTCCTCCCCAACTTCCTCAGCCCCCTCTCCTCATCAACCACCACAGGCCTCAGCGTCCACCAATCCAGCATCTGCATCACATACCCGCCCTTGGGCACCGGCGTCACAGTAAACTGGCGCCACCCACTCCCCAACTCGGCCGTACACTTGAGCCTCCCATTCCCATCATGACACACAAACCTACTCGAGCTACAGTTCCGCCACCCGAACCAACCCTGCGTCTCGACGCACTCCCAGTAGATGGATCCGTGGGTTGCGCCTCGCGCGGCTAACACGACGGAGCCGTCGAGGAGCGTCAGCACGTTGCCGTTGTCGGAGGTGGCGCACAGGATGTAAGTGCAGCCGTGTCGGGGGATTTGGGCTGCTTCTTCTGGGTAGTAATCGTCATTGTCGTCGGAATTAACGCGAAGGATGTGCTCCGAGGTTATGGTCGGGGTGTACATGGTGTGGCTGTCTGTTGCTGTTGTGTCGGACATGCATGATGGCGAGTCTGGGCGCATGTTGTTGGGTTCATGCTGCGGTGATGTCATAGTACTGTTTTTTTTGTGTTTTCGGATGCTAGAATGGGTTTGGGGTCTATGCGTATGGTATGCACTGTATGGAGTTTATTCTGTTCTCCCTTGTTTGGTCCTTTTTTGGGGTCGGCAGTATCTGGCCGACGGTTTGCCTGTTTCTTGACTACGGATTAGGTTTGCGAGTAGTAGCAAGTACGCAGCAGTCCCGGCTTAGTTGTTCGTTTCGTTTGCGGACGGTCTCGGTGTTGGTGGTGGCGCTATGGATGTACATATGCGGGGTAAGGCGTGCGTGTGTAAGAGCATGGGCGAGACCTCTGGGCTCGGTCGCTTTGCGTTTCTTGGGTTTGGGCGCCATGATGGCTGGGGTTTTTTGCGATCAATACTTGCTTGGCAAGTGCTGCAAGTGAGCACCGATAAAACGTCGCGACGTAAGTACATGCAAATGCACGGCCGAGCTTGGATGTGGTGTTACGCTGCGTCAGGGTACAAACTCTATGTATGCTTCTGTGTATGGAAGTCTGTTGAAGTCCTAAATTGGACACCCGCATGCTCTATTCAGAAAGTGGGCTTTTAGGTTTTTGGACCCTGACTGAGTGACTGACACCGATATGCGTTATGCACCAGCGATGATCAGCACGCGTGAGATCTCGCCATCTTTTATTATCTTTCTTGGTACCTCGCACAGACTACTCCCCAATTGCAAAAGGAGGCGGAGATCAAGGTTCGATTCCTGTCAGTCATAGGGCGCCGCGATCGTGACCATGTTGTTGTCCAAGAGATCTGTCGACGGGTGCGTGCTTCCTTGGAAATGACAATCTTGAACGTGGGGACTTAGACGTGAGATAATAGGGGGGGCTACTGGGGCCACTGTTGTCCCCTGATCTTCACCAAAGCAAACCTCACTAAGCGACAAGGAAACCCCTGATGCAACTTACACAGAGACTTGGGAGTCGGAGAGTTCGGATGGCATTACTCTACGTTCTCGTTTCTGCAGGTGAGAAACGATGGATTATGTTTCCTCAGTGTCGGATCGTCTGTGCGACCATCAACCGGTTCACAATCCTGCAAAGAGTTTCTCACATGGACGCTCGAATCCCTGGAACTATCACACAAGAATACGATGTCGACAGCTATGCCACTTGGCCCAAGTCCATTTGTAGCTATCGAGAATGAGGAATGGGACATGTCCAGGAGGACGTGGGTAGCACCAATGCTCACGTGGTCCGGCCCTTCTTCACCGCCCGGCGGCCAAATTGCCAATTTACGAAGCATACAGAGCGACCTTGATCCAAAATATATCGAGCACGATTTTATTTTCCGTCTGTACCGCAAGGCTGCGCTTCTATGCAGCTTCATATGTTTGGAGATGCACATGTGCAACCTCTACATCGAGCCTAGAGCGGGAGGGTTTTCCAGTACGTCATTGGACACCGCAAGCAGAGTACTAGTAGTATAAGAAACCAAATACGCCAGTTCGCCCAGTCCCCACGGGCGCGCTCAAAACGAGAAAGGGTAACCCAAGCAGCATAGGCCGCCCCCTTCGCCAGCGCGTCGTTTTTGCAGACAGCAAATTACCGCCTTGCGCTTATTTTAAAATCCCACCATTGACTCTCTCTGCGATGGAAGCAGGTAAAGGCCTGTTATCGATGCAGAATTTTTTCTTTACTTTTTTCGACAATATAAAAAGTCATTTGCATGGTCTCAACTGCGGCTGCTAGGTAGCGACATACACCCCACAACCACCGAATACAGAACCAGCTGCAGATACGGAGTCACCTTGTTCACCAGCTGCTTTGCCCTTTTGCGCAAATTTCCCGTGTTGCCTCAGTCTGCGGGTACTACGACCTTTTGGCCAAACGTCGCCTCGGCGAGATACATCTGCGATAATTACCACACACCACCAAAACCCACCTGGCCTGCGATTCAAAAACCAATACCTCCCTCACCATACCTCGAAGAAGATAGAAGAAAAAAAACCCCAGGCAAACCACCAAACCCCGGGAGAGGACCAACCCCCAAAGAAGAAGAAATGGCCATCGCAAAACCCTCCACAACCCTCCCCCACCGCCAACAATCCCACCACCTCACAGTCCCCGGCCCTTCCACATCCTCTTCCTCCTCAGCACCCAGCATATCCGCCTCCCCCCTCTTTAGCGCAAGCACACACGACATAGCCATGCTCCACGACATCCACAGTCTCCTCAACAAACTCTTCATCCGCAACCGGAACCAGCACCGCCGCAGCACGTGGTGGAAGGCGCTGCACGGCTTCCGGAAGCAGATGGCGTTGCTGCTGGGTGAGCTGGAAGCGAAAGAGCTAAGGGAGTATGAGAGACGGCAGAGGGTGCAGGCTAGATTGAGGTTTTGGGATGAGAGGGGGGAGGTGCATGCGTGGTATTAGTATGTTCTTTTTTTTCTTATTCCGCCATGTTGCTTGCAACTTGCAAAATCAAGTTTTATTGAGATATTAGGGTACGGATGCTAATTTCTTCGTGTAATAGTCAGTTCAGTCAGCTTGTAGCTGTGGGCCCTTTCTCTAGCCTCGGCCTCGTCATGATGGCGTCTGTCGCACGCGTGTGCCGCATCACGGGTATTACGTCCGTGTACGAGCAGATTGCCTCTGCAGAGGTCAAGGGCGTGCTGGATGCGAGTGATAGGTTAGGCTTGGCAGGGCAATTTGAGGGTGTGCTGAGTGGTGGGGACGAGTGCGATGAGGGTGTTGTCATTGCGAGGGAGGATGAAGACTAGATTTGATCGATGAGGGGAGTTTGTCGTCTTGATGTGGTGGTGGGCAATATGAATTGATACCAAGTAGCCCTAGCCTGGCTACATACCCTCGATTAAGCGTTTGTAATTATTGGATTTTACATACTATGCAACAACGTGGATACGACTAGTAAACAACTCATTACCACCTATCTAATACCAAACCTCGATCCCAGAGTGCCGAATCGATCCTTACCCTCCACCTTTGGACTCTGCGCCGCAACTTGCGCCCCCTCCTGCACCTTCTCGAGCAAAATGGCACCCTTCATTTGGTCCACCTTGCTGTACTTTTTATTCCTCTGCGCAATGTCGAAGAACTCTTCGGAATTGTCCGTACCCATGAGCGCCACCGTCTGCGTCAGTTCGTCCAAGTTTTCCATGAGGATTGGGTTGTTCAGCGAACTGACGAATTGCGATAGGAAAGCCGTGTCGGCGGCGAGGGTGGCAACTGCAGCAGGAGAGATACGCTTGATGTGTTGCGCAAGAGGCAGATCGAGGATGGCAGTTGAGGCGTGGGATAGTGCGTCAAAGTAGATGAACTCTTTGATGTCCATGGGTAGGGCAAGAAGAACTGACGACATGATGTTAGAAAGGTACCTAGTCAACTCCAGCATGTATGTCGAAGGCTCCGTCTGCGGTTTCGTGGCCATCCAGTCGTATTCTGCCGTCTCAATCAAGTCGTCAATCTTGCTGTTGACGAGCTCGAACACACGGTTCGATGCCGTGTTCTTGGCCTTTGCGAAGCGCTCTGTGGCAGTGAGAACTATGGGACCTGTTGCAGAGGGCGAAGAGCGGGCTTCGAACAGCAGGTCCTGGAGCTCTACGCATGCGTTTTCAAAGTGCTCCAGGTTGGTGAGAATTTGTACAATCTGGCCGGGATACTGACTGCTTAGACGCTCGACAAGACTTCCGCACACTTTCTCGCAGAGCAGCTCGTCAAGGCTGGTACGGAGGGTCTCATCAATGACACTGCTCTTTTGGAAATAGTCGTCGCTGAAGAGGTAGATCTGATTTAGGAAGTTCCTAATGTCGATGCAGCATAGAGGGTACATTTGTGAGAATGGCAACACACATGGGAATGTGAGTTGTTCGCTGTTGGCTGGAGGGCTGTACCAAGACACGGAGACGACCTTATCGTACTCTTCCCGTGAATTGATAGGCATGGGCATGTAATCGTCGGTGTGTACAATCTCCAAGAAATCGTCGCTGAACCGTTGCTTGAGGAGAGCGGAGTACTTGGAGAAGAGGGTGAGAAGCAGGTCGTTCATTGCAGAGACCGAATATCCCCATTTCTTAAGGTCGAGTTAGTTTGGATCGAACACGGTAGTCAGGAATACGAACCTCCATTGTGAGCATAAAAAGTGCAATGCGGCCTTTGATTTTGAGCAGCAGCTCATCGTTGTCGACGGTGTGAAGCTCTCCTGTGATGAGCTTGATTGCACTTTGACACATTGAATCCCACAGTTCGTCAACCTATTCCTGTGTTAGCCACAACGATGACAAATAAGACAGGAAACTCCACTTACGTCAGCTTGTGATCGCAGATTGGTTGTTATTGTCATGGTTGCTTTCTCAATAATGGCATATCCCGCAATACTCTCGAGCAAACTACTCAGGTCGCTGCACTCTTCATCAAGCAGATTAAGTTTATTGGGTATGATCAGATCTTTCTGCGTCCGTCGATCCGAAGCGTACTCGGCTCTGAACTGTTCGCTCTTACCCAGCGTCTCGTTGATATGCATGGCTTCAAACAAACGAGAGAAGTCGGTCTCATTGCCTGCCTCTTCGTTGTTCAGAACATCAAACTCATCCGTCTCATCAGCGACAAGTTCAATAGCCGAGTTCAGTTTGAACTTTGAGAAGCGCGGATCCGTCTCAGCGCGCCATTGGTTGCGCTTTCTTCGCTGCTCGGTATAGAAAAACGACACCTCGCCTAAGAACTGTGCAGACTCGCGGATGCGATACAGCCATGTACTCAGGTCGCTCTTGACTGCTTCTCTGATTTGCTCCTGGGTTTGGGGAATCGACTTCTCAATCAAATTCGCAATCTTAAACCGACTAATCTCCTTCAAATGAATCGTCTGAAGCTCGTCTAGTGCCCTTAACGCTGCATAGTAGTTCTTCTCTTTCAGCAGATCCTGGACCTGGTTGGCGATTCGGAGAACGTTCAAGCACGCGTTGAGCGCTTGGCTAGCTTCGTTGATGTTTTGGCGCACCCCTCTGGAGTCGACTAGCGCTTTCTTGTGCTCCGCCAGCTTCTCGATACTCTCTTGGATGGACTCGTTTAGCTGCAGGATTTCACCACTCATTTGCACGGTCTGGTCCCGTATCCTGAGCAGTGAGTCGACAGAGCTCACAAAGTCTTGATGGTTTGCGTTACATATTCGCTCAATCTCATGCTCGCGATCATTTGCATATCGATCGAATGTGACTTGCAGTTGGTTTGAGTAACGGGGATCCTTCATTATGGGGATCAGCTGATCAATATAGTCCGAGCCCACGGACGACTGGGATATCTGATAAGGTTAGCACAGTGATGGTGACTACAGTACACATGGTCAGTTTTTACTTGTTTGATCGCTGTCAACAAGTCATCGTCAGGGTCAATAGCTGATGGCATGGTGATGGCAGCCTAAAGGGGTTTGGCAGTTCGTGTCGAGTATGACTATTAAGCAGCTAGGTACTAAGACTTTACTTGAGAAAGTATCTTCAGTCTTGTTATAAAGTTGTTGTATGTTGTTCGTATGTCGTCGTCGGTTGCCTACGGGCTTGAAACGCGTACCTGGCAAGTCGGCGATGCGCCTGATACCGCACCAACTCAAATGCGGTCTAGTGGACTTGGCGGCATTCGGGCCCACTTTCCCCATCAAGGGCGGGCAATGCTCGAGAATGCCCAACCAAAGAGCGATGATTGCACGACATACGGCAGAAATGCTGGAACTATTGTTTTTGTGTATGGAGGGCTTCTGAAGTGTGCTATATCTTATGCAATTAGCATGTCAGTATTTCTTATTATAGTAATGAGAAATCGTGGATGATTGACAATATCATCGTTGGGAATACGGCAGATTTCGATCAATCAAACGACAACAGGAAGAGAGAGAGGGTTAACTCAGGAATCCCCTACTTTTCTCTGTTATCAAGTGTATTCAACTAAAGTTTTGGCTTCGGAGCAGCACTCGGTTTGCATCAGACAATCATCCCCAGTTCTATGCATATGGGTGCCCCACTTTCTGGAGCGATGACGGAGTAACCCCGCCGATTTCTCAGTACTCCGATCCGGAGTCAACCAGGGAGATATAACTTTGCCCAAACTTTTTTCCTCTTGCTTGGCGACTTCTCACAAATTATACAAAATGGAGACAATTACCAGTAGGTGCTCAATTCCAGTGCCATTGATAGTACGCTAATAGCTTTTGTAGACAAACTCCAGAACGTCATGGGTACTGCCACTGGGCCGTACAGCGGAAAGTATGTTGCAGAAAGGTAACGCCTTTGATGTAAACTGGCTAACAATGCGGCAGGACTGCCCTTTTGCTCGGCGCCGGTTTTGTGTAAGTTAACGAAATGCTACAAACAAATGCAGTAACTAATCTGAGTAGCACACGCCCAACCGTAGATGTTCTCGCAAAGTCTGGCGTCAAAGTCACAGTGGCATGCCGTACCTTGGAAAAGGCTCAAGGCCTAGCTAAGGGCATTCCTAACACCAACGCCATTAGCGTATGGCATTCAATTCTTGCACTGTCGACTCAGCTGCTAACAATTACTAGCTTGACGTAAATAACGCCGAAGCGCTCGACGCCGAAGTCGCCAAGGTTGACGTTGTCATCTCTCTCATTCCCTACACATTTCACGCCACTGTCATCAAGTCAGCGATCCGCAAGAAGAAGAATGTCGTCACAACATCATATGTCTCCCCCGCCATGATGGAGCTCGACGCTGAGGCAAAGGAGGCCGGTATCACAGTCATGAACGAGATTGGTGTAGACCCTGGTGTCGACCATCTCTCGGCTGTCCTTACCATCGATGAGGTCCACAAGGCTGGCGGCAAGATCCTGTCTTTCAAGTCATACTGCGGTGGTCTTCCCGCTCCAGAGGCCTCAGACAACCCCCTCGGTTACAAGTTCTCCTGGAGCTCCAGGGGTGTACTGCTCGCCCTGAGAAATCAGGCAGCTTTCTACCAAGATGGCGAGGTCAAGTCGATCGAGGGCCCAGAGCTCATGGCCGAGGCAAAGCCATACTTCATCTACCCCGGCTACGCTTTCGTCGCATACCCCAACCGTGACTCCACACCCTACAAGGAGCGCTACAACATCCCAGAGGCACAAACCATTATCCGTGGTACACTGAGGTACCAGGGTTTCCCAGAGTACATCAAGTGCCTGGTAGACATTGGCTTCCTGTCAGAAGACCCCAAGGACTTCCTCAAGGAGGGCCAGAAGAGCACCTGGCGCGATGCCACGGCCAAGATTGTTGGTGCCACCAGCAGCAAGGACGAAGACATCATCTGGGCCATTTCCTCCCGAACAAAGTTCGCCAGCACAGAAGAGAAGGACCGCATCATCTCCGGTCTCCGCTGGATCGGTATCATCTCAGATGAGGAAATCATTCCTCGCGGCAACCCTCTGGACACTCTATGCGCTACTCTGGAGAAGAAGATGCAGTATGAGGAGGGTGAGCGCGACATGGTCATGCTCCAGCACAGGTTCGAAATCGAAAACAAGGACGGCAGCAAGGCGGTCCGCACCTGCACACTCGTAGACTACGGTGACCCCAAGGGCTACTCGGCCATGGCCAAGTTGGTCGGTGTGCCGTGCGCGGTAGCTGTCCAGCAGGTACTTGACGGTACGCTCAGCGAGAAGGGTATCCTAGCGCCTATGAGCACGGAGATTTGCAAGCCGTTGATGAAGACATTGGAGGACCAGTATGGTGTGTACTTCAAGGAGAAGACCATCCCCATGTAAAGGGCGAGATGGGTATCATTAAGAAGGGGTTTGAGTGGACTGTCATGCCGACATGACCAGATAGACATTAGCATCAGGCACAATCACTTGAACAAATAAATATCCCTCATGAATTACTCTTCTGAGCTTTGCTGCCTTTTTTCTTTTCTGGGTATACGTTGGTATCTCTGCCGCCGTGGCATCGTCATCTATTGTGCTTATTTCACTTCTTCTCCTTCCTCCTCTATACCCTCGCTCAATCCAATCCTGCGGTTGGTGGGGCCCTTCCTCCAACCGCCTTCTTCGCTCCTCCATTCCCGCCTCCCATGCCGCCTCCAAACATGCTCCCAAGCATATCGAACATGGGATTGCCCTGTCGGGGGATCTTGATTCCAAAGTACATTTCGCCAATCTGATCCAACGCCTCATTCCAGTTCACGTCTTTCAAATCGCCCGCATAATGGCTCTTTAGCTGACGCCACAGACTGGGATCTCCCCTTTCCACACTCAGAAGGAGCAATCCGAGGAAATTCAATAATGGCAGCGAGGGGTATACGCGGAATTCAGACGACTTTGTGGAAACGGCTTGTGTGGGTGGATTTGGTGTTTTCTCGACGGCAGAGGTGAAGAGGAGGAAGAATTTGTTTGCGGCTCGGAGGTTGCCGGTGAGGAGGTAGGGCAGGACGCCACGGGCACAGTAGAGGGGCGCTGTGTGCGGCGCGTCTGATGTGTACCAGTTGTAGTGTAGGGAAGCGAGGGTTGCAGCGCTATCTTGGGTGCCGAGGAGAAGGTGGCGTTCTGCCTCGTAGGGTTCGAGTTCTGTGGGTTGCAAGTTAGCAAGAGCTTTGAATACATCCCCCTTGATTTTCTCTTTTATGATCTCTTCTTCCTGCTCGCGACGCAGCATGCTGGTATCTCTGGCTGGGAAAACTCACCCTCAGCGTACAACCCCCCCGCAACATGATGTAACTCCGGGTCGCCTGCAGGGAAGTCTCCAAACCGCGAACTCCATACTATCATCTCGCCCACAAACTTCTTCTTGGTAGGCTCATCCTTGGGGAACGTCCGCAGAAGTGTTAACAGCCGCCCTTTGCTTTCGGCATCTACTTTGATTTCCCCTTTATTGTACACGTCTAGTAGGAAGATGCAGAGGTCGCCGCCGGAGCCGCCCTGGCCAGCTTGTAGCAGCGATTGTGCGCCTTGGAAGAGGATCGAGGTTGCGTTGGGCCAGTCGCTGGCTTTTGTGTAGCGCGAGGCGATCACGCGGAGTTGTTGGTGGGCTTCGTAGTACTGACCCTCTGCGATTCTATGGTGGGGTCAGCTTGACAGCGTCATTCAGGGGCGTTTCGCGAGGCATTCACTTTTCTCTTTGTCGCGCAAGCGTCTTTTCGATTTTGGAGGCCATTTTTGGCGGAGTAAGGGTGGTGAGTGGTTGGGATGAGGACAAGTTTGGGGAGCAGACGTTGGCTGTTTGAGCTGTTGGTTGAGTTGGCTCACGAGCAATGACGCAGCGCTACGGGCGGTTGCTGGACCCCACATCTGCCTCGACTTGAGCTCGATTGCCAGCGCGCTTGCTCTACACAACACCTGCTACTATATCTCTTTCCATTGTTACGATTTAATACTCTGTCTGAAATGCAAATTCAGCACTAGCCTGATGAACACCTTCATGGATAGGTTTTCGCTTTTTATCTAGACAAATTCCAGAAAGGATCGGAACATATGGAGTGCCGGTTGACGTATGATGGTACTATACTCTTATTCGCGGTCGAGATTCCTCGAGAGCTTTGTAGGGCACAACTGTATGGCCAACGGTTCACTGGCAACACTTTCAAACATCTGGTGTCGCTTGGTTCAATGCGTCTCATCTTCAGTCACCTCGTCAACATAATGCCCGGTGTATCAAAACAACATCACCCATGCCTATCGCATCGATCATGACCTGCTTGGACACAACCACGGACACGCAATGACTTTAGTTTCTTTTGTACTAGCTGCCTTTAGCATACACAATCTCTGGTCCATATACGCCCAGGTACCTAGGCTAGCCTGAAAACATGCAAGTGGGTACACCAAACGGAGAAATTTGCAAAAAGCTTTTTGATTCTTCGCGCATGCTTTGCATTCATCTCTTTTACATCTTACATGATTGAATGTGATCTTAGTCTTACTGTTTTATTCTCATTGCACCGCCAGCGCTGGCAAAAGAACAATTGGTCAACCTTAAATGTTGACGACAGGATACCCAGCAAAGAAAGTAGTGTTCATCTGCAGCATCTCTCGATGCCACTGCCCTTTTCGGAAGACAAAGTCAATGTTGTACCAAATGGTCTGCAATGGAGATGATTTGAAGGGCGCAGCAAAAAGAGCTACAGCTGCAAAAATATTTTCGATGCGTCGTCCGGGAGTCGAACCCGAGCCAATTGCTTGGGAAGCAATTATCCTACCGCTGGACCAACGATGCTTTCAGAATATAGGATACTTCTGAAAATTTGAACATTATATCGTCATTGTGATATGTAGTGGTAATGCATCAATACAAGTTTGTTGATGATCCTGCAAGATCCAGTCAGCATACACCCGAAGCTGACAAGAAACTCTTCGATGCCGAGACACGTGGCTAAATTCGAGAAAATCCTGCTACGGTCCAACCCTCCACTTGCTCTTTAGGATTTCTTCTGCTGACTATGTTCACGATAATGCCCCGACCTATACACATTATAACTGAGCATACGATAGCTTTTGATTGGGCTATCAGTCTGTGAAGATGTTCATAACAGTATCACGGTATTAAATATTCAGAATTTCCCTTAAGTACCTTTGATGAATTTCTTTCTTCAACACAACTCTTCGAAAACAAGAGTGAGCTGATAACAAAGTTCAATAACGAGTATAACCGGCTCAATAACAAACATTCCTAACCGAGAGCTGCTGAGAGCGGGGTCGTCGTATGACCAGAGTGGGGCTGATGCGTGTGTCTGGCTAGTTATCTCCTAATGCGATGACATTCGAAATCACTGCGATCCCATGAACTAACGCGTAAGAAACAACCAGAGTACAGTGCTACGCTAGTGTCTTGTAGTAGAAAACAATGTTTCCTCTGCAAGAGACGGGCAACTGATAGACGCTTCCATTTGGCTTCATCCTATTCTTAATTACAGGGAAGTGAGCATGTTTCTACCCAACACCATCGAGTCAAAATTTGAGTTTCATTCCTTGAAAATATTATTGCAACATTTGCATTCCTGAGTATTCCGGTGAAGTCTATTCAACCTGAAAGAGTAATGCGAATCAGACCTTCAGGTACTGCGTACTCGACCTCATCGCATGAAAATCAATCTAGTCTAAGACAATCGACTATAACGAATGCCATAAGATACGGGCTACCTCGGCTTGCGCTAGTACTCTGCATTACACAAAAGAGTATCATGCACGATTTTGGTACACTATGTTTCAGGCCTCTATGCGGCATTCGGTACACCATTAATCATTTTGAACCAGAGCTCATCAAAAGGGTTAGCGTGAGAGCAGCGTAGTCCGAATGCAATTTGTAATGTCGACAAGGATATGTTAGTGTAATACTTGGAATAAAGGAGTCGATAGTGTGTTCAACGTAGTCCGTGTTAACGTGGGTTAGAGGAGACGCCGTGAAAGGGTCATTTCCGCGGGCAGTAGAATATACAACCGAAAACAAAAATGCAAGCATGGCGATTTGCGAACAAGAGTTGTTGATGCAAGACTAGGCTAGAAAACATGACATGTGCATCACAAAACAGTTGGAAGAAGTGGAGGCGAGGTATAAGTTGAGCTCGAAACCCAGAACATGCATTTTCATTTGCATTCACATCCGCTGGAATGCAGGATAAGTATCTATAGAGAAGAAGAAGAAAAATCAATGAGATCGTGCCGCAAGCGTCGTGTTCTCAAAACCAGTTCCACAAAGGAACATAAGAAGAAGAAGTGTGCGTCAAAAGCCATCGCCGAAGCAGATTCGCGCCGTTTTCCGTTTGTCTTGACCGTAAAGCCAAGATCATAGTCCACCCGAAACCATGTCCATAAAAGAAGCCTTAAAGAAAGATGAAGGTCGTCTAAGAAAAGTCCCTGGCGTGGCGCCTGGAGTTGCTGGAAGCAACAGATGCGATTTCAGGTCCAGGAGCATCTGGGGATGTCTTGCCAGCCTGGTGCCAGTAAAGATCCCACTTGAGGAGCGGGTCGTTGGCCTTGTACAGCTCGGTACCCTTCTTTCCAGCAGGGACCTTGGCGCCGTCCTTACCGCCAGTAACCTTGATGTTGAAGGCTTGAGGCCAGAACTGGCGGTTGCTGACATCGCCATTGTTGTGGATGGAGACGACCTCGGTTCGGAGGACGTAGCTTTGGCTGGGAATGTCAGATGGAATCTTGACTGTCTGGGTGTTGCCATTGTCGTAGAAGATGGCGTCTGTGCCCCAGTAACCAGTTTGTTCCTGGGGTGAGCCGGATGAGTAGCGGCCCTTGCGGTAGTCGATCAGGGCGGACTCGTGGATCTTGAAGAACTGGAGGGTCGTCTTGTCGACCTTGGCACAGTCACCGTTGCAAGGGGCGAGATAAGTGGCAGTCCAGCCGTGGTGGGAGCAGTCCCAGCCCTCTTCGCCACCGCCACAGCTGCCTTCGTGGTGCCAGTGGAAAGTGACATCAGATCCAGCGGGAACTGGAACAGTGTAAGGCGAGGGGGAAGCGTCCTTGTGAGCAATGATGTCGGGGTGTCCAATCTTGTCGCCGTACACGGGCTGGTATCCCCAGCCCTGAGCGGTCCACCACGCAGGAGACTGATTACCTGGATCGACCTTGCTTGCCTGACGGTAGCCTTCATAAGTCTTGCCACCAGCCTCGAACTTCTCAACAGAAGTGTGGCCGGCAACGGTGGAAATGAGAGCTGCGACAAGGGCAGTGGTCTGGAAGATCTTGGACATGGACATAATGGCGATTTGCAGAAAAGGGTTCGTTGGGGGTATTGATGACGAGGCAACGCTAAAGGGTATAAAAGAATGACGAAGAGCGAGTTTCTGATAGCACCTGGCTATGAAAGAGTGACTGGTCAAAGACTGACTGTGGAAAGAATGACTTGCTTGCTGGAGCGTGAAGAAAAACGAGACCGGACGGGGAACGAAAAGACCTTATGTATAATCGGAGCAAGGGCTGAAATGATCCCACAAGGAGATCCAGACGCTTCTTCCGTCCCCCTTCCCCCCGCATTTCCCGAAAAGCAAGAGAATCGTTTACGTTGTGGCTTCTGTCGGCACCGGCTTGCGGCCTGCTGACGCCCATACCCACTGACGCCCCATTACGTGGGATATGTGCCTGACGCTAATGTAGGTACAGCAGAACTAAGCACAAGGACACTTGGGTCACCAGGGTGTTGAACGGTCATTCCTAGTGGCCCTGGTCTTGGGCAGCCTTTCGAATGACAGAGTTGGCTAATCCTGTCGTCTCCACTGTGTTGCTGCGGCTGCCTTGGCCGCTTCTCTGTTGACTAGATCGGCACTATTTGTTCCTGAACCAAATATCCACAGGTCTCGACGGCCCCTCAAGACTTTTCAGTGGAATCCGGAGGGGGCCGAGATACATCTAATAATCGACAGGACGAATCAGAAGGCAGTGACGTTATGTCTTCTTTGGTTCAAAATGACCAAGCGTGCTTTTCTTGTGGTCGGGCCACCTCTCGGCTCGCAGTCTGCTGCCAACAGGGGTTGTACGGGGCTCCCATTGCCGTACGCCAACCGCACAACGCCGTCGTTTCAGCCGTCAGCCTCAAGCGAAAAGAGCTATCGATAAACATCCTATGGACGTGTGTAATACTCTCTCAACATCCGGATGGCGTCTGCAGAAACTGTGGTTCACTAAGGACTCCCCTCGGTTTGAAAAGACGCTGTGCAATGTTTCAGAATCCAGGAGTCAGTTGGACCCCACTGCAACTGAGTTCGGAATACGAGCACGAGGCGCGCGCTTTGCCGGTTGTCTTGGTATGCTCCGCCCATCATGGGCCAGACGCTCAAGAAATCGCCCAAGAATCGGCGAGTCCTATTAGACCAAGCTTCAACCACCAGCTTGACATAGCCATGACATCCGGCTCCATATTCCGGACACCCTGTGCAACCTGCTTGTACATTTTGAGAAGTCAGGCAAAAGTATATGCTTCATGGCCGACTGACACTCTGTGTTTCCACATGAAAAAGTCTCGTGCCTATTTCTTGCGAGATTTGGTGATGTGCGATCTTCGATCCTTATTTGGGTGGGCTACAGACAAGCAACCCATATGTCCAGATCGGTGTTTTGACTGTGATGTACCCGAATGGGGGTTTCTGATGGATGCTTTTTGCAAGGATGCCTGAGGGAAAAGGCAAACATCCAGCCCTGCTATCTCTACACCAAGGTCGCCTAATGAAGTTTCCGAATGTTTCTTTTGACGGGCCCTAGTGCAGCTACCAGTGCTCAAACCAACTGAGGTCCAATGAGTACCACGCATCTCTCACTACTCGATGCTTATTCCAAACATTGTTGATGTTATATGTTCGTCTGCCACCCTTCCTACTTTTCTGTAACTCATCTTTTTTTTCATCCTGATTGCAAATTTAATCTCGGGAATCGGCGCCCCAATACCACCACGCAAGTCTCTTGTGTATCAGAAAGCTGTTGTTGCATCCTTGGTGTCCATTCTCAGTGTCGGGCTTGCACTCATTCCATATTCGCTCAAAGTGCACGCACACTCGAGCTCAACATCCCTTGCTTATATACGCGAATACGTGTAATAATTGGCTAATAGAGGTAGTAGCTTACGCGCAAGGTTCCACTTGGTGCTCTGTCATTCAACGCAAACCCCTCCCTGGAGCTTGGCACAGCTTGGGTCCTCGCGTGGTCGGCTGGGGTGGCGCATTGACGTCGAAGGCCCGACACCACAAAGTCCGCATCGGAATACACCCATTATGGTCATCGCCATTCTCGCTTTTGTCGTTTTTGGATGTTTTGTCCGATGTAGCGTTGCTACTGGCGTTATGGCTGTATGCCTCGATTTGCGTGCAGACCTGACTACACACATCTCTTGGATGACGCGTCCATTGCTTGCGTTGCATTCCCAATAAACGCACACACGCAAATTTGTCGTATTCTGCCCGTTTCAGGTTACTTACGAATCAATGAAGTTGCTGAGTTTTTGTTTCATGCTTAGGTGTTCAACTTTTCTTATTAGTACGCAACTAATCAAGCTCATGTGCAGTGCCAGTCTATGATTTATTGCCAGCTTAAACAAATCTTTGCATGCCAACTCTCGATTGAATTTCATATTTAACTCCAATAGCGTTTGCAAAAATCCAAGATTGTTGGCTCGAGTCCTTACAACAAGGTCGGCGTGAATATGGATATTAGCAGTATCGTAGCATATTCTACTCCATCGTCAGACAGCTGAAAAAATAAGAATGGGAGGCGCTGAAACAACATATTCTGGGTCTAAGGTCTATTGGTTTGGTCCAACAACCTGTTGCATATATATTCAGCTGGCCTCTCAACTTGTAGTCGTATTGGAAAACACTGAGACCTCTTTCATGCCAGCTCACTATACATATCCAGGCTGCTTATCTTCTACTAGCAACGTTTTTCAGATAGCCAACGGATTATGCATTGTCTCTTCTGTGGAGAATTGCCTGGTAAGAGTTGCGTAATATAATTAATTAATTGCACCAAGTGCAAAGCGGCTCAGCTATCAAGGACATGTTCGTTGTATACAACAGTTTTTCAGAGCGAGGATCACAAGCAATAATGTTTATTTCAACCTCTAGAGTAGATTAATCTAGATAGTCTGCCATGTCATATGCTTCCTCAACTCAAAGAAATAAAATTGTACCTTGACTTCGAGAAAAGTTATCATTCCTCCTGTACATATTTTTGAGAACAAAATCCACATTCCCGAAAACACGATTTCTTGTATAGCAGTGTAAGCAGCGGCTTAATCTTCGAGGGGTTTGTCGTTTCCAAGTGCCTAGACTTACCAGGAAATCGATTATCCGCGAACCTGGTAAATTCAACCCGAATTTTCTGGCACATACGACCATAGGATTCTTGGCATCACGGAAACCCGTCCGCTCTTCCCTAGTTAAACAGTTTACCGGCGGATTAGTAGCCAGGTGGGTGACCACTGGCGAATCCCCGCTGTCGTATGTTTTTGGCTTTGATTTTTTGCTTTCTGACATGGGTCACGTGGGTGGGTTTAGGCGAGCGTTGGATCCTCGCGACTACGTGCATGTCTATTCCAATCTAGAACAAGAACTCTGAAGTTGGAAGAACGATGCCTAGTTATTCCTGTCTTTATTTTTTTTTCAAATGCGAGAAGAAGACCTCGTTGGAATTATCCCCTACCTGCAAAAGATTTTGTTTCCGGCTTTCTGAGCTGTTTTGATTTTCGGATGTTGAATAAGATGTTCTTACTATTAGTCGATGCTTATAATACTAGAGCCTCCTAGAACCAATTACAGCGTATCTTACCTTGTAGCACAAGCCTCCAGAGTAACGTAAATACACAGCCAAAACTGTAATAACGAGAGATCCTACTACCTAGATACGGCACAAAAATGACGTGTGTATTGGGCGTTGAGTATGCATACATATCATGCAATGACGTTCCATGACGATTCTAACAAATACCCACCCCCACCATGACCCTCCCCTACATTATAAACAGTTTCTGAACATCCGTAGATCTCCTTCCAAAAACATATTCCCAGAAAACGAACATTTAAATCAATTTCTTCCATAACCTTATTCCAAGCCAATCACACAAACATCCTCCACTAACCATCCAACATGAGCGACGACAACAGCCCTGTCACCGCGTACCCCGCGACGTCAATCACAGCACAAAACCAAGAAGGTGGTCCTGGTCTCGATGCCAAAATGGAGCAAAAAGCGGAATGGTCGCGCCTTGAATTCTGGGACGACAACCAGAAGCCTTATCTCAAAGAATACGAAGGCCGCAGCCTGCTCCAAGGCAAAGCAGCGCTAATTACTGGCGGCGACTCTGGCATTGGACGCGCAGTCGCCATTTTGTTCGCAAGAGAAGGCGCAGATGTAAGCATTGTGTATCTGCCCGAGGAAGAGGAGGACGCGCAGTACGTCAAGAAGAAGATTGAAGAGGCGGGCCGCAAGGCCAACCTCATGCAACTCAACCTGCGGGAGCGCAAGAACTGCGAGCAAGCTGTTGAGCAGCACATGAAGGTTTTCGGCAAGCTGAATGTGCTAGTTAACAATGGTGAGTTTTTCTTCTTCTCTTTACTCTATGCATTCAGAAGCTTGCCAAAGAAGAACATGCTGCTAACTGCTGAAAAACTAAAAAAGCCGCAATGCAAGAAATGGCTACCGACATCACCGAAATCGATCTGGACGTAACAGAAAAGACTTTCCAGACAAATGTCATTTCCATGTTTGCAATGAGTAAGTATGCGCTCAAGCACATGAAGCGCGGCGACTGCATTGTCAATAGCACATCGGTCGCAGCATATATGAGCAACCCTACACTCCTCGACTACGCATCTACCAAAGGCGCAATTGCAACCTTTACTAGGGGTCTGGCGCAACAGCAAGCACCAAAGGGAATCAGAGTCAACGCCGTCGCACCTGGAATCATGTAAGTTTTTCGCCCCAGTCTCTTACACACCCCAACTATTACCATCTCCCTTTCTTTTCCCCAGCAACAACACTAATCACTCGTAACGGCAGCTGGACCCCTCTCCAGCCTGCAACGAAAGGAAACCCTGCAGATGCCATGGAGTCGCTTGGAGTGGGTGCTTGTCCGCTGAATCGCCCAGGCATGCCTGTTGAGATGGCGACGTGCTATGTGCATCTTGCGTCGCCGTTGGGATCGTACTGCACGGGCGAGGTACTGCATGGCTCAGGCGGCATCGAAATGCAGGGGTAAGGGGCTGAGAAAAAAAAAGCAAAGGCCACGATCGTGTGTGTGAGAGGAATACCATCGTTGTGACAATGAGATGCTGTATGAGAATGAAGATTATGCGACGTAATTGATGGATACATGATATTAGTATGTAAGATACAATCCAAGATCTACTACTATAAGCTACATATTCCATGTTCTCATGTGCCTTTGTCCAGGTTAAAAATGGCTAGATACAGTAGTTTGGCTGGGAAAAGGGTGAAGTAATTAATCAAGGAGAAATTAAAGAAACTTTCTTCGGCGCTAAAACTACATTCTTTCCCTGCATCTTAGAAGTTGGGAATTCATTATTATGGACGCTGATATGTCCTTCAGGAATCGTATATTAATTTTTGGTTCTAGAGGTGGAGAGATTCGAAGACCAAAAAAATGCAGAGTTAGCTTTTGTACATATTTTCTCGAGAGCCTACATAAACATCATTTAGTGGCAGAGAAAAGCGTAGGAAACGAGGAGGAAATAGTCACAGAACACGGTAATCGGATGAGGTGTTGAATAAATAGAGTGGCATGTTCAGTATTACACTATGAATCCCACGATACCAACCTCCCTACACCTACTACCCGTTTGCCAGCTACCCCAACTCCAAGAAACAGTGGCATAAAACGCCAAACCATGCATTTCCCTCGCGAGCAATGTTTCTCGCATCAAAATTCAAGCAGCACAAAACTAACTACCCTTCTTCGTCTCCTCCACACCCTTCCCGTGCCGTGCATTGACCTCATCCATCGCATCCGGCATATCGACATCAGAGAAAGAAACCTTATTCTGCAACTTCTGGGTATCAACATCCATAGCATCATCGCTTCTGCCTACGGTCTCGCTACTCGCATTGCTGAGTTGAGAAACCGCGGGGCGGGCGAGATTAGGCTGGGTCGCGGCACCAGAAGCGTCGTTGTCATCTTCGACCTCTGTGTTTGGGGTCAAAGTAGCAGAACTCATATTTGAATCGTTGCGAGCGCGATTGTGTAGTTCCTTGGTGGAGATTTGGCTCCATTCGTTGTTGTCTGTGGGAAAAGTGTCCTCGACCCAGTCGCCTACGGGAGGCTTGTCCCACCGCACTGTGCTGTTGTCCCAGCTTGTCTGGCCGGCATTGTCATAATCGTTGTAGCCCTCCCAACCTGTTGCGTTCTTTTGCAACTCCTCCAAAAAGTTGAGATTGTCGCGTTTGACGAAATCGAGGAGGGGCTTTGCTAGTGGTATAGGCTCGACTGACATGGCATCATCGTTGGCGTAGACAAGAAGTGCCGAGGCAGATTCGGTAGTCGCTCGCTCAATGACCTCTTGTAGTGTGAGACGGTCTCGCCTTATTATTGGGTTCGAGGATTCAGAGTCATACTGCATTCGCCACCACTGCATTGCGCCTGGAACATCAGATTGGATGTCTGGGTGTCGCACATAGACTACGTCACGGCGAGTGGCCACGCCATGGAGATGATATGGGTAGTGCATGGCATCCTCTGGTGTCTGGCCTTCCGGGAAATCAATTTTGACCGGCTCTACAGACTCTGCTGCAGCTCTCCTAGCTGCACCATCTGTAGCGTCCCCAGTATCGTCGTCCGTGGCACCATCGTCTACGCGAGGCTTAAATCTCCCAGAGATACCGACAATCATGTTCTTTGTGTGCTCAGTCTGTTTCTCAAGTGTTGCGAGCTTGTCCTCAATACTTTTGTAGAGGTCTTGAAGCTGGGATAAGACCTGTGCGTCCTCGGGTGAATCATCTCCCTCTGGATGTTCATATATGGTCATGCTGGTCCGAAGCAGTTGCAGCGATTCTACTTTGTTGGCACCAGCCTTCTTTGGAGTATAGTATTTCAGCTTCTCCAACTGCTTTTGAATGGAATTCAGCTGTTCCTCATGCTTTCTGATATCGCTGTACATACTGTCAATGACATGCTTATTCTTCTCAAGATAGCGGTCGACATAGAGAGTGGCTGGTACACGACATCCAAGATCGGACGCCTCTGTATTTGACGAGGTCAGGCGGATAATGAGGACATTACTGGCGTCGCGTATGTGTGCGCTTCCGACTGCTGAGGAAAAGAGCGTATCGTCGAGGACATCATATAAGCTAAAGTCGGGCCTAGACTGATCTCGTGTGACAGTGGTGTCGAGCGCAAAGCTTTCTTGTGTTGTTCCCGCAACATTGACAGTGGAACGAAGAAGACCGTTCAACTCGACATTCGGTACATGGCTCTGTACTGCAAAACCCCACATGACCAGGAACTTAAGCAAGTCATCGTCAGGATCCTCGACAGCCGACTGATTTTCTGCCCAAGCCTCGGTCTGCAGTAAGGCATTCACTGATCCATAGATCCTGTCCGTGTTGTCGAGGAAAGCCATGAGACGCTGTGCCTCGTGGATGATCTCCAAGTTGTGAGCTTCTGAACGGCCTATGCTGTCATCGAATATGCGCCCAGCCTCGGTTGGATTGCCTCTCCACCAATCCTCACCTATCCAATAGTCCTCTTGTAATATACCGGGACATAGTAGCGCATTCCGAAATAACGGAATTGAATGTATGATGGGAATAAGACTGGACAGATAGTTGAAGTTGGACGACGGCTTGAGGATAGCGGGCTGACCTTGTTCGCGCTTTCTCTGGATAGGTATTGGGTCGGCGATAATCTCGGTAGTTGTGGGTACCAAGGCCCATTGAGAGGTGTCGTAATTATCTCCAGTAGCTGGCCTGAAGTTGGAGTTTGAGCCGATGACCCCACTCTCTTGGTCTTCTATGCCTGTCTCCCAGTCAGTATGACCAATTTAGGGCGTAGTATCGAGCGCAATGAACTGACTCTGCATTGGAGCGTCGCCGGCCTGGGCTTGGTTGGAGGCGATGCTGGTCCGAGAAGGCGGGCGCGTGGGTGCTCTGCTATTGACATTGCTGTGGGGGTAGTTGTCATGTCCTGGAGCGTAGTCAATATTGAAACCTGACACGAGTGCCTGTCAGCTACGTTATTTCTCGACATGTTGTGTAGCCCAGGCCAACGTACTGGGAACGGTTGCATCGTCAGCACCGTACATGGCACCTCCAAAAGCAGTCTCATCCCACTTGGGCTGGGAGTTGCGCAGATGGGATTTCAGTACCGAGATACCGCCTTGTTGCTCCATGCTGCTGAAGTATTTGTCCATGGCGGCTTCGACGCTGTTGCCATGATTCTGCGAAATGTTGTTAGCCAATGCTCATAAAGCGCGGGCGATGTGCTTGAGCGGGGTGCCTTTCGTACCGCGAGTAGCTGCCTGGCCTCAGTTCTGTCCAGCTGGTCGGCACCGAAGCTGAGCAAGAGGTCGATGTTGGCCTCCACATCTGCTGCCTCCATGGTTGTGGTGGTCTGGCTTGGTGTGGTGGAGTGGGGTTCAGAGGTGTTGGTTGCGCAGGGTGCCTGGTAAAGGTCTTTGGGCGGGAGCGGGACGGCAGGCAAGCGGGCGCAAACGTGTTTGGCAGCGGCACGGAACTATAAACACCAGAAAAATGGACGCAGACTGGCGATATGCGGAGAAGGCGCGCCTGTGTCTTGTCTGGCGGCAGTCATGGCGGGGAGCATAAGGCGTAGCTTTGCGGAGGTGCCATGCGGAGCTTTCACGTCGCCAATTGCGGGCGGAAGAGCAGGGATGCTGTGCACCGTCGACTATTATTGCGTCACACATGCACCTAACGGTCAATGCCGCACATGGCCCGAACCATGCACAAACTGCTTCTTGTTTCCCGCTTCGTAGCTTTGTTCTATTGTACATTTATCTTATTACATAACAGTCCTGAAGCGTACACTCATATCTTGACACTCCTTCGCGCCTTTCTTGGAATAGCGAATGATTCCTTGGCCATGTAACAGCAACATATGCTAACATGACGGAGATATTGAGCACATCATCCAAGACCTGTTTGCTCTTCTCTTGGTTGCCCCAGACTCTATCGCTTCTTCATTCAACCTTTGTAATCTCCTCCGTCTTTGCCGTCGCTGCTTCATCGTGTTCGTGTGCAGCATCGGAGCCAGGCCCGAGTGGCCGGAACACCTGCACTCCCTTTGATTCGTTAAGCTGATCTTGCTCTTTTCTCCATTGTCGCCCGCGGTGGCTGAACCTTGAGATCAGGTCGCGGTAGGGCTTGAGCTTCCTATCCGTCTCCTCTTCGTCCAGCCCAATCAGTTGACGCCGCCGCTCCTTCAGCGCGTTGTACAGCCTCCAACGAGTCTGCTCTGGAATCTCCTTGATGTGGTACTCAACCTTCCACTCGTCTTGTTCTGTAAAGTCGACGGGCCTCTCCACGTAGCCCCCGTTCACCATATTACGGACGCTCAATGTCCATCCCATTAGCGGTCCCTCCGAGATCGAGGTAGGTTTGGGTACATCCTTCACGTCTCCTACGCTTTCCTCATCTCCATCGTTGGTAGATTCCTCAGCAGTCTCTTCAGCAGTCTCTTCAGCAGTCTCTTCAGCAGTCTCTTCAGCAGTTTCTTCAGTGGTCTCTTCAGTGGTCTCTTCAGTAGGCTCTTTGGAAACGTCTTCGGACGCGTTTTCAGAAGCATCGAGTGGTTCTTGCTGAGATGCATCGGCCTCGCTACTCTCTGCTATCGAGATGATCCTTTGATCCTCACTGATTTGCTCGTCAACATCGTCTTGGATGTCCTGCCAAGCTTCTTGAGTTCTCCGATCGTCTTCTGGTATACCCACAATATCCCGCGCAAAGTCTTGTTGGGCAGTTTCCCCTGCCTGTTGGATCTCGTCCGCCTGCTCCTCGGTGACGGGCTCAGCAAATATGTACATAAAGGGCGTCTTGCCTTCGCGTGCTTCGAAATGCATCCTCAAGGACTATGATCGAGTTAGTAATTGGCCATAAGTATGAAGTCGACAGAAGTAGCTTACTGTGTCAGGGAACTGAGCGGTAGCCTTGGTTAGGAGTTCATCAACCAGGTTGATAGAGACCTTGAACTCCTCGTCTCCCAATGATGTGTCGTGCTGTCCGTGAAGAACAGCATCCATGTCTGCTAAGCTGAGATACTGGAAGCCAAAGATGCGCTCAATGTTGTGAAAGGCGACGAAAATGCCATCCATTCGCCCCATCCGGACTTGCAGTGAGTACTTGAGCAGCGTGGCACGTGTCATGTCGTAGAACTCACGCTCAAAAGATTCCCACTCGCCCAACGCATGTCGTAGCTGGTAACCCGAGCCTTCTTCGAATTCTTTGTGGTTCATACGAATTGAAACAACAGCCCTCGTCTTCAAATCGAAAACGCCGGTTCCGGGGAGTCGGGGGTCGACTGCATCCAGTTGGGACCGCATCATAATGTTGCCTTGCTTCGAATAGTGATAGCAACGGCTGGAATTATCTTCTGTAGGTGCCTGCTCGGGATTCGATCTACGATATCTTTCAAACTCGCTTCGCTCGGTCGTGAGCAACTTCTCGAGAGAATGACCAAGCCAACTCATAATGTTGGGTCTATCGTAGGACTTGTCTGCGTCAATTGCATAGATGCCGTCCTTGTGTCTCAGAAAGACAGTACTGGGACCAAGAGTGATTTTCGAAAAATTCGGAGACGGATCTGGGAACTGGCGTGAGAGCATGTCGTGGTTGAGCTTTCGAAAGTTGGACAGAACGAAATGGAAGTGCTGCAAGATGCCCGACATGCTGGATGTGGAGCCCGTGAACTTTGCGCCAATGTCCTTTGTCAAGGCGAGCAGGTCTTTGTCCTTGGAGGAAGTCTTGTACTCGCTCAGGGCTTTAAAATCGAACTCGTGGGCTGGCATGATCTTCTCCAAGTAGGGGTCGAAGTTGTACACTCTTGACCGTGGGTCCTGCAGTCGGTACACGCCAGGGTTGAAAAGCACGCGGTCAAGTCCATAGGCTAGCATGGGCACAGGCGGTTTTTCCACTGGCACAGGCTCGAATTTGAGCTCGCTGGTCTCAATCGAGCTTATGTTCAGCTTCTCACGTTCTTCGCCCTTCTCTTTCCGTCTCTCCCGCTTGCGACCAAGAAGTGCGTCTTTGAGAGACATGCCATTGTTGTCGCCATGCTCGTCCGCCGCTACATCCTCGGCCTCTTCTATTTCACGGGCATTCTTGGGTTTTTTGCTAGCCTTTGTAGCCTTTTTAGGCTTTGCAGACTTTGCAGCTTTCTTAGGCACATCTCGCTTCAGCACAACAGCAGTGGCGCTGAAGGGCTGGCGCAGTAGCGGGCGTGGCAGGCTTGAAGCAGCGCAAAAGAGACATGCATGGTTCCATTGCCGTGGCGAGGCTCGCACCAACTGGCGACTCAGCATTGGAAAGTGTTGGCGAAGTGAAGAGTGAGGACGGCGGTTGAGATGAGCGGCGACAGTGACGCTTCGACATTTTCAGAAAATCCATCGGCGTTTTGTTTTGTTAACGCCGGGCGATCGCCTATTAGGGCGCATCACGTGACGCGTAGTAGCAACAGCCAGGACGCGCGGAGAGGGCACCAGAGACCCACCCACTCCGCCATTGGGCGCATGTCTTGTAGACAGTAGGACTACTACCCAGACAGAACCCTGTGGACTTCGCGTCCCCCTTCTTCTCTTTCTTTGCCGGTGCGGGGCGTCCTGCTTGTACGTATCTTTTTCGCGTCTGAGGCGTGAGCAGGCTGCCAGTCCCCCCTCGTTCAGACAGACGTAAGGCATCATCATCCCCAGGAACCCTCATACCATATGCGCCCACCTACGGCACATGAATAATGGGACATCACCATTCCACCACCACCGCCGCCAACGCCGTCCCACTAAAAATCCGAGCCTGACGTCTGCACTGCGACTGCCGCCCCGTAACCATCCCGCGATTGTTGTTGTTGTTATTGTTATTGTCTTCTTACTTCTTCGCGCATGCGCCTGCGCCTGCATGTTCATTGGCTACGCCTCGACACTCAGTCCAAACTCCGCTCCTCTGGCTCACCCTCCGCACGCCGACTCTTTCTGACCTAGCTACCGACGCGCATCCCTTGCTTCTTCCACCGAGGACTGCTCTACTTTCTGTATGCGACAGTCGCGCCGCTGAGCTCGTACTGGGCTGTGCGCGCAAACCTGCAACCCCGGAATGTCCAAAGACAAACGGCGGAGCATTTTCGGTCGCAGCTCTCTCAATGTCCTCACCTCTCAGAGCAGCAAAGACGACACCCAGCCCTCCAATCTGCTGCGGAAGCGCCGCACCGCCTCCTTCATTTCGAATCTCTCCGACGTATCACAGCATGCAGAACCATTCACTATCAACGGCTCCATGGGAGCCAGCTCCAACGCCCCAGAACCGCCTGATTCAGCCCGATCCAATCTTTCCAAGAGCCAGCTGAAGCGTGCCAGCTCCGTCTTCAGTTCCTTTCGTGGCTACAAACTTCCCGGCGACGACGAACCTGAGCCCCTCTCGGCAACCTCGACGCGGAACTCGACCATTTTTGGAGAATACTTGTTTGAAGATGTGAACAATCTTCAGGTCTTGCACCATGGAGAGGTGCAGACGAGCAGTTCCATGTTCAGGAAGAAGAAGGAATATTTGGTACTGACCGAGAAGCATCTAATCCGCTTCAAGAGCCAGTCCAAAGCAGCCGAGGCTTTTATTGAATGCGCCCCAGTCCACTTAATTCCAGGCGATGGAACTGAGTATCGTAAGGTCCCATCCTCGCATCGCTTGAGTACATACAGACACAGCCACAGCCCCTCTATTGGATCAACACATGAGCTCCAGTCCCTAGCCTCAGAATCATCTGGTGATCGTCATCAAGGAATTCCCCTGCGTCACATTGTTGCCGCATACCACCTAGACGACGGACGGCCGCACTTTGCTCTCGAGCTGTATTACCTGGATGACGAGTCCAATCATGCCGCTTCCATGACTCTCCAATTCGGCGATCCCGAAGACATGTTTGCTTGGCTCAAGATCATTAGACATGCCGCCAATGCAGCCCGACTCTGTGATGCAAAGCCCATCTCTGCACATAACTCCCATCTGGCTGCACGTGTTGTAGAAGCAGAGCGTGACTATGTGCCTCCACACTATGCCATATACAAAGTTGTCCTCAGGCCCCAAGGGAAAACCACGGCCAGGTCTTCGTCTGATGATCTGACAAAGGCATCTGCTTCAGTATGTTTTCTTGCAATTGGCGTGCACAAAGTACACATCATCCCGTTGTTCAAGCCGCCTTCGCAACGATCTTCCAGTCCATCCTTGGTGTCCCAAAACACACAATTGTCACATGGTATCCTAACCCTGACTGAAGTTCGTGTCAGTGAGATTGATGATACTTTCCAGTTGACCTTCAGGTACGTGTGCGAATGCCCACAGGGAGAGCAACTCTGACAGCATGCAGAAAACCTCTAGAGAGACCAAAGGTGCTTCAATTAGCGTCGCTTGCCTCTCGAGACATAGCTGTCCGCCTACAATATGTTGAATCTAGTCTCAGACCGGAGTGGGAGACGCGCCCATTAGATTTTCTGGTCCCCGAGGAAGTACACCAAGACATTGTACGACAAGAGAGCCCACACCCTATGGACCCTGACTCTCTGGATCGCACTTTGATAGGTTATTGTATCGCTTATGATGTCCAACCAGAGAACATTAGCTATCAGATTACGTATCCACCAGAAGACTCTCCACGGTTCGAGCTCCTCCCGCCCAGCTCCCGGAGAACCCAGTATACTACACTGGAACTCCTTGCTGTAATGCGCGCCTTGAGGTACAACGAAACGTTTGGTGGGATCTCATTCAAAGATGTACACCTGGATATCTTGAATGGGCTCAAAGACCCAAATGGCGCAGAGCATCTTTGTCTCAAGACAAAACGCGGCACATATGCGCGCTTGGATATCGAAGAATTAGAACGATCTTGTCTATTGGTTCAGGAGATCCGCGCATTGGCTCTGACAAACCGGAAGCTTCGAAGAATGGACTTTTCGGGTTGTATCACGCGGAAGCCCAGCGACCACGGGGAATCCAGAGGTAGTGCGAGAGATCAGGGCTGCGCTATTGTGGAAGCGCTGTTTCCGCTGTGCAAATACCAAACAACAAATGTCGATTGGATAGCTCTTAACAGAATACAACTGGGGGATACTGACTTGGATTATCTTGTCGCTGCAGGTGTCGAGCGAGCTTGTCATCTAAGGGGACTGGAATTGAGCGGATGTGGTCTTACGGACCGTGCATTGTCTCTTGTCCTAGACGCATTGCGTGCACAAGAAACCACACTAGAAGCCATCGATCTCTCGTCCAATCCTTTCCGCCTTGCACCAAGCATTTTCGACTCTCAAATCGGCGTTTTTGGCTATCTCACACGACTGAATCTCTCACATCTTGCGCGATCCTCTGGCCTTGAATCCCTAATATCCGTCGAGACATTCCAAGGCTGGAGATTACAAGAGCTGATCCTTAGCGGAACATCACTCAACGCGGCTACCGTCGATGCCATCGCCGGCTACCTTTCTAACTACAAACGGTCTTCAGCCCTTCGCGAGATAAAATTGGATCATTGCTTTCTTACTGGAAGGGACATTGCTTTTCTTCTGCACGCAATGACCGAACATCCGGGCAAAGCTCGCGACCTCCATCTTGATGTCAGCGAGAACCGAATCGAGGAAGACCTGGACTCGTTAACAAAAGCAATCGCTAATGGCCTTGCCCCATCGAGCTTCACTCTCCGTTTGCTTGAGTTCGAAGAAGACGCCGACTTTCGGAAGATGATACTCGCTCTGGCCGCCAATAACACCATTCGACAGCTGGACATCTCGCGAGCATCTCTACCATGTGACGCTTCAGAAGAGACGTGCCAAGCATTAGAGAAGATGTTTGCTGATAACAGAAGCCTTGAGTGGCTTGATATTTCTGGTGAAGACTCTCGCCTTGAAACAACCAAATTAGGCGTCGGTATCAACCGAGCGTTGCGAGGACTTCAGCGCAACAAAACCTTGCGTGCTTTGTACATCAGATGTAAGTTCATCCTCTTGAGTATAGAATAGTTGAGGAACTAATAGAATTAGATCAAAAGCTGGGTGTACAAGGCGCGAGTACCCTTGCGGATGTGCTCAAAGTCAACAATACTCTGCAATACCTATACTGTGAGGACAATGGTATCGCTTTGACTGGTTTCACGGATCTTGTTAATGCGCTCCATCGAAACACTACCCTCCTATATCTTCCATCTATGCATGAATCCCGCCAAATGGCGCTCAAGCAAACAGAAGACCAAGTCAAATCAATGCGTGACGATTTGCCAACAAACAACCAATCAAAATCATCCTCGGTTCGAAGCAGAATCACAAACAGAGTGGTCAGCAAGACTGCAAAAGAGCCCAACTACCCGACAGGTCTGTCAGATCAAGACATCAAGGCCGCGTTGGGGCTGGTTGACGAGAGTTGGGCCAGGCAAGAGTATCGTCTGCAGCAGTACTTGACCCGCAATTACAACATCGCACACGGCATACCAACAGCCATGGATGTCGATGAGGAAGAATTCGAAAGGCCAGATACGGCAAACAGTTTAGGCAAGATTCTTGAAAAAGTTACCATCGAGAGCACTCCTACTGCAGAGAAGGATCTACAGCTTGGTAGCCTACTTCCGGAAATAACTACGACGCCGATGATAGACATTGACTACGACAGTACACCTTTGGAAAAAGAGCTCGAAATGTCTTTTGGTAATACATCAGTTGGATTTCCATTCCCAAAGTAATCAAACGGACAACTTTAATCACACCTAATCGTGATTGGGCCTCTGCATTTTACTGCTTCTCGCCCACCATCACTCTATTGTTACAATGCTTGTTTGCAATCGCTTTCTTCGCCTGTATATATATAGGGCTCATTTTGCATATACCTTCTCGACAGAGGTTATTCGGCGTTTCTTTTCTACCACAGGTAGCTGACGATTTCGGAATTCTGGTCGTTGGGCGAAGGAACCGTCTGGTCTGGATAATTTATACTTCTTGAGTACATGCATGTTCTAGGCTTAGGCTCATCTCTGGACGGCTGTTTTTCTTCTTCAAAGATACCATTTAGATTGTTATAAACAAGATTGAAGTTTCGGACTCTTCTCAAGAGAAATGCTCGACTTTCAGTTTTTCGTTAAAATTCCAAACATGACTAATTCATTGGTTTGTTGCAGGTATGAAATGTAGTCAGTTCAGATTTGAACATTGTGCATTTCCGTCTGCGATCGCACTGCGTGGGGTGCACCCCACTAAACAAGCTCATAATTGACATGTCCGAGCTCCGGCCGAAAATGTACGTTGACGACATCATTTCGCTCGAAACGAGTTAATTGAACCTCACACTTTCAAAACCAAAGCCACAGACGAACCAATTGCAATCTCGAGACCAGATCACGACTTTTTCCATCTTCTTATGGTAATTCGGCTAAGAAGATGGTCAGACAACATGGCAGTTTAGAGAAGGATGAAGAGACGAACCAGGCGGCCTGGGAGGCGGCGCGTGGTGCGCTAGTCGGCGGTACAAAGGTACGAGATGGCTCTCGCGCGGATTACATCTATTACATCCTTGCCTTCTCTTTACTACGAATTTAAGAGTTTGCTTCAAAACAGGAAGCAAGAGAAGGAAAGTAGTGACGAAAGAGCTAGCTGTGGGCGCATGAGCGAATCTCACGTGAGAGTCAAGATTGGAAGTTACAACGACTGCACAGGTCGCAGTCATGTCATCTGATTCCTTCTATGCTTTATCTGTGTTTTAGAAGACTTCCTGGCCATATAAGAGACATCAAGCTAACTTTGATACAACCAGTGGGGTGCTTTCTTCGCCGTAGGAGGCGGTGTCGCGTATGCGTTTTCCCCCCTCTACCGCGGTCTGACTGTCCAATTCAAAACGTATGATTACATACCTTCCCTCTTGAATTGCATGCTGCTCTAAAGTCCATGGTTGCTAATCCACAGATCAGATACATACAAATGAGTGGTATGATACTAGGCGGCATGCTCGAAGCAGACAAGCGCATGGTGAATTATCAGCATCGCGTTAGACATCATAAGAGGCTGGCGAGGGATATGGAGATCTGGAGACGGTACGAGGATACGTACGAGGAGAGAGGGACGCCAGGAGTAGGAGCGGAGAGCGATGTACATGGACCAGATGGAAAAAGTGCATAGGGTCGCATATGGGAGGATACCACGAGCCAAGTTAGAGATTAGGGAAGGCTGTTTGTATTGTACGATATCAGGCGTCTATTCGTTATCCACACATGCAATGAATGGGTTACAGACATGCTTCCGTTTTGGGGCTCTTCTTCTAGATGATTCCAGGATTTCACAACAGCACAATCTATACAGTCATTCTGCTCATAGAAAGTCTTGAAAGAAACATTACTAGCACTATTATAGCACTGAACCCACACCAATTCCCAAAAACACACAAATAATCCATGTATCACGGAGTAACGACATTGCTGCGTTGGGGTGGTGCGGAGTTAACGGACCAATGACGTGCTTTGTTCTGCGGAGGCAAGGCTGACGTAAGGTCTCTCCACCAACGGCGCGCCGCTTTCTTCAAAAGCCACCTTGCGAATTCGCTTCGTCTGGTTCTTTAGGCAGCACTTCCGCTGTTCCTCGCCCACCACACTTCATTGTCGCATCTGTCTGTGGCTGCCACAGCTTCACGCAACAATGGACGTTTTTTGGACGCTCCCCCCGGTCTCTAGGTAAGCTTCCTTATTCTTCTTCGCGTAGCTCTTAAGGTTTCGCATCTAACAGCTTCCCATAGATCCATTACAGCTGCAGCTGTCGTCGTGTCGGCGCTGGGTTATGGTGGCATCCTCAACCTCTACCATGTCGTCTTCGCGACTCAATATGTCTTCACTACCAAGATGATCCCGCAGCTCTGGCGACTCTTCTCTGCGTTTCTCCTCACGAAACCGAAGTTCGGCATCCTGCTTGACCCATACTTTTTGTACCAATATGGCAGCTCCATTGAGCGCGAGTCCAGCCGCTTTTCGCAGCCCGGCGACTTTTTTGTGTATACCATGTTCGTTGGCAGCGTCATTGTGGTAAGTACCTGCTCGTAGCTATTCTGCGCCCCATCGCATATACATGTACTTTGTCCATATCGCATCGACCCAAGCTGTCTGCGACGCACCGACTACGGTCTCGACCACCTCGACATATCTGCCCGCCCAGTCAAAAAATAATCTAGCTGAAGCGGTTCCTGGAATCGAGGAAGAATACCCTTGCACATCATGCAGTTCCGCTACAATCCAAAAGGGACTGTATGGTGTGTAGGCATGGTGGGATTGTCACATAACGATGCGTTGCGAACTCTCTATTTCGCAAGGTTATTTGGGGCTCCCTACATACCTTTACCACTTGTTTTGCTTTGTTGAATCGCTTGTTGTGGATGTAACCTGGAATGGGCTTGTGCTAACGGTCCATGTAAAGGGAACGGCAGGCTGCCTTTTAGGCTCATACACCTTCCTTCCTGCGCTGTCTCTCGCATACGCGTACACCTTTGGCCAGGACAACCCTACGCGATCCGTGCAATTCTTCATTCTCAACTTCGACGCCAAGTTCCTGCCTTTCGCCATGCTGTTCCTTACATTCGTCATCGATGGTCCTGATGCAGCGGCTTCGCAACTGACCGGCCTCCTTGCTGCACATCTCTACGATTTCCTCACAAGGATCTGGCCTACGTTCGGAGGTGGAACAAACTACATTCGTACCCCTCAGATTGTGAAGGGTTGGTTCAGTGCAACAGCCGGCAGTGTCCAGGATAGGGGATACGGGCATGCTGTGCAGGGACGCGGAAGGGCGGCCGGTGCACCTGGAAGCGGCGTACAGCCAACTACGGGCAGGACTACGGGTGCGAACACGTCTTGGGGTGGAATGGGACCTGGCCGTAGGCTAGGAGGTTAGACATACAGGCTGGAAATGCCATGTAGTCTGTTTATGATGGGTAATGCGATTTTGGTACTACACAAGCAAAACTCGTCACTGTATTATTAGCATTGCAGTAACTGTGTAAATGAAGATTCTGTATTACGATCTGTCAAGCCGCCCTACTGTTATGCAGATTTTACAAACACTGTGATGTGGAAGAGACACCAATAACCCAACACTTTAACGTGCTGGATAAGCGAGTTGGCCAGGCAAGCGAGTTGGCCACCCCACCAAGTTTGCGCACACGGTTTAACTCTATACACAACCACTCTACGCAATATATTCTAAATGCCTTCAAATGAAACAGATATTCAGCTTGCTATCTCTTCTCTTCATACTCAT